AATCGAACGCCACTATGCACAGTATACAATCGAACGGTTTGACTCAAGTTACTATGACCTCCCCTAAGGTTATCAGCCACAGAACGGTGGAATCGCCAAGTAATTGATCCCTTCAATCAATAAATCAATCCAAAACAAAAAGTTTCAACGGAAACACGTCTTTTCTCCCATATTCATAAAGAAAGTATTAACAAAAACGTCCGTACCGTACAGGGTAAAATCTTTTCCTATGGAAGATTTGCCTCCTGCCAAAAAGAACTCGCTTATTACGGGATCCTCTTCCGGGTCTGGATTCCGAGAGAGCTATGATACTACTGATAATGGGTTATGGGATGGGAGACCCAGGGCACTGGACGCAACATTGGGTGACAGCTTCTACATGGTGCACTTCGTTGGTGTATCGCGAGCGGTTGCGACGCGCTAACAATGACGAGTCGTCATTTGACGCCACCTTACAAAAATAGTTTAGTGAGAAACAAAAAAAAATAAAAATTGGAAGTGAAAAAGGATGAACAATTTCTACAGCGATCAAACGCGTTAATTTTGATGAACATATTGCCTACATATACGCTTCGCGACCGCACGCAACTATCACATATAAGTCGAACACGAAATTAATGATGTCAATGTGCAATTAATAGATCGGTAAGATACTAAATGTTGCCAACAACAAGACAAATAAAAATGTAGCTGAAAACGGGAGAAATAAAAAAATCACATAAATTCAATCAAAGCTTTGCAAGCGTTCCGGATAGAGTTAAGCATTCTGGGTGAAATTCGTGAAAGAACAGATAAATAACTGAATAAACAAGTAAAGAAAAACTAAATAGGTATAAACAAATAAATAAATAAGTAAATAAATAAATGATGCTCTAAGCACGTATGTGCATGTGATACATCTCCAATGCAGCCGAATACGGTTAAAATCGCTTCCAGAGAGCAATTCTACGCCTTTGCTCCAAATCACATTTCGCTATAGTCGGGAGGGGCGGGGACACATGGCCAAAATGTTATCCCAACCAGTGTATCAACCTTCTTCACCGTATTATATGAAAAACGCACCAATAAGAAAAGTGCAACGATTATGGGCCACCGTTTATCTGGTCACCGTGGAGAGCCTTTAGGTTAGAAAGGGAAGCAAAGCTCTGGGAGTAGACGAGCAATAATTCCGATTCAATCGCTTACTAGTAGGTTAATGCTTGGCCCACGTTGACAGTATGGGCTGAGGCAGTCAGACACTGCATCTTCCTCATACCAAGGCCTTCCTTTTCGGTGGTGTTCGATGAAAAAAGCGTTCCAATGAGGAGTACACGATAGTTGACGGTCCCCGCCCATATCATTAGCGTGGACAGCGTCTTTACATCAGCGCATGTCAAAAGTACTCACCATCACCGAACATTTAGCCGATTATGGCTACACCAGGAACATTCAATCGTTCAAGAGGTGAAGATATTATTTCATTCATTTGTTGAGAATCCTAGACCTACATTTGTCACTGTCAAGTATTTCTTGCGTTCCCAGCGAAAATTTCCAACTAACTTTCCACCCTTTCAATTTTTTCCATAGCCACTGTCTCCATTGGCTGCACCAAGAAAAACTGCTTGGAATTCCTTCACTTTACACTATGAGGACTGTGATAGGCGCAAATTCTTCACACAAACCTTGGCATTACAGCAAGAACTTTGTCCTTTCGTAACCCGATTGCATGAAATAAGCAATATTTCTCATGTATTTGACTTTTACAGCGAATAGTGAAGGTGCTAAGAGGCCTACACTGAATGAACGGCCTAGATCTGAATAAAGAGGGAGCGGGAGGGGACAAGTGACACGGCTTAGCACATGTGCGGTCTGAGTCGAACCCGGGTCGACTTCTAGAACCAACCAAATCTGTTCTCTATCGGGGTCGGTTGGCGGACACCACACTAGTCTGGGAGGATAAAAACAGTGATAGTCTTTCGGTCATCATCATGGTTCATCGCATGGGCCAAAGTGCGCACAACATGCCGTCACGGACCTGAATAGGAGAAGTATGCACGGCGCATTCCCACATGGGCTGATCAACGCCGGAAATGCTGCCCTTTATCCATCATATGGAGCGTACAGGAGCTGGCTGACAGTGAGCGTTTTGAGCTGTCAAGTTTGATAGGGGGGGGGGCATTACGCTTTCCATATGATGTGCCGACTAATCTAGGTAAGCGCCTTCGTCAAGTTGACACGTTTTACGATTGTGGCTAGACGATCTTGCTCCAGCTTCACAAGTGTTCACAAGTTTTAACCGAGTGAGATTTGTAAACCGGAACTAGGGAAGCAATGGTAGTACTAAATGCCCCCAAATGCCTTCCCCATCCCCGTGCCCCCCCTCTTCGACAAAGAGCGCTGCCGCAGTGCGCGTTTTCGAAACCCATGAGATCCGCAAAGGCTCAAAAATATCTGAAGAAAGGCTTCAGAACTTCGCGATTCCACTACGCGATATCGGCTAAGAGCTACATCGCGTTTAAACGAATGAGTGCTGAGGCTATGGCACAAAATGCCACTGAGCTGACCACAAGAGGTAAAAGTGGTCCCGGTAACATAATGAATAGCGCAACCAACGGGTAAGCGGAAGATGCGAGTTCAATCCGTCCCGGGTCGAGTTTCACCCATATCTCAGCATAGTAAGGGACTTGGGAATGGTCTTCAAAGGCATATTGATAACGATAGATTCGTAAGCTCGATCTGCAAGTGTTAGCAGTGGTGGTCGCCATATGAGTGAGAAAATGGCGAAAAGCGAAGTGTAACGGCCAAAAACCAACTGCAGAATAAACCTTTTGTTCTACATGACTAGAAAGGCAATTTAGGACGAGGTTTCCCGTTGGCATGTTTCCAGTAGCCGCTACGTGGTGATAGGCTGCAGTTTGTGTATTCAGAAATTTCCATGGGGCAGTAGCCGCAACCGGCTTCATACCATCCCTTAGCTTCATATTTTACTTCGCAAATGAAGCGATACGAGCATCAGCACCGGTGGGACTTTTGTGGGCGGGCGGTTGTGGTGGGCGTCCGGGTCGGTAAATTGCAGCTTGATAGGGCGCTATAAGGGCACTTGTTCCACGAAAAGGCGGCCACTCGCGAGCGCCTGGGCACGCGCGGCGCTCTGTCCTGACAAGGTATTAAACGCGACACGCCATTGGGGATTTATCGTACATTTGCGTTTTGATAGGGCGAGTTTCAGATTCGTAGAGATGAGAAAGGCCTACGTATGTGGATTTAATTAGTGGACATTTTCGAGGCAATGGCCAAAGAAGTGGTCCGTGGCATTCATTGGGAATGCACAAGGGGGGTGTGGGCGGGAAAACTTTCTCTCGGACTTCGCAAGTGAATATGGCACACGATCTCCCCCCCCCTCTGTAGTCAAGCATGTTCACAGTAACGATCTCACTTTATGAACCAATTTTAAATAAATATAAAAAATAGCTAGATTTGCCCTCAATGGTACTGATAACAACTGGTGACTACAGTTTTCATCCCCTAAAGAAATTTGGCGCAGTTTGGGTTTCAACTGCGATCAGTTTTACCTCAATGCTCCTGGTATTACTTCCTCGTATCCAACAGCACATGGGCACCGTTTGTCACGTAATGTAACCTGAGAACATTCCACGAAGTTCTTTAAAAATCCTAAAAGACTTGAAAACCCCGTAGCGCGAAGAATCCGAAGCGATGTAGTTGATTTCACCCATTGCGGATCATTTGGTGTCATTTCACCATTGCCGTATTGCTATCCGAGCATCAGCACGTAGTTAACGACATCGATTCGTAGCAGTTCGCGATCATACCCACAGATTAGCGACCAGTAAAAACGAACATTGACGGCGGCAACGAATTTCGAATCGAAGCGATAAGCGTTGAAAACGAGACGACGACAACATCAAATGGCCTTGGGATCGCTTGCTTGGCCATTGCTACTTCGGAGATCGAATGATAGACGATTACAGGCGATTATCAGTTCAAAAAAGGATTTAATGGTGGAATGACGGTATTACTGTTTTAACTGTCTGATCTGATCGGGAGGACCTTCCCCAGTCATGGACTCACAGAGGTGTTGCATGGCACTTGCACTGCACAGTGCTCTCAAGCTCCTTCCTCGCTATTCTGATCTCAGACACATATTCCACGATAACTGAACAGGCGGAGACTCACCATTAAGCGTCGCTCATGGGGATGTCTAACCATTTCTTCTTGCGGTCTCGAAAGAAAATTTTCTGATTTTTTCCCGCTTCACAGGCGTTATATTCCCCAGACAGCTCGACAGTTTGTAGAAGTGA